CTCGAACTAACCACCCATGAGCTCATGACCTGGGCTGAAGTCAGACGCTTAGTGGACTGAACCCCCCCAGCTCAGTGTAAAGTGTAAAGCTCTCTGCTCAGCTCACCTAATGCCCAACGCATGGCGGTCCAGGCCCAGACCCCACACACGCCCGGCTCCCGGCAGATGTCTGGCGAAGTGCGTGACGTTCCAGAGAATTCCCCCAGCGCATCAGCCCTCAAGCCGCCCCGGTCAGTGCTCCTCCTTGGCAGTGCCGTAGGCGGCAGTGATTTCTGTCAGTCTCAGCAGCGCCATGTGGGGGCCGGAGACCCACCCGAAGGCACAACAGCGTCCCCGTGCACTTGGCTTCCGGTCCCCAGGCACTCCGCATCGGCCCGCGGGCCGGCCCAGGGACTTCTGGCGTGCTCACGAGGCCTGTAGCACAGACGTTGTTTTGCACAGAACCACAGCTACATACGGGGTGTCTCTGTGTTTTGTTGGGAAGAAAACAGAAGATGCAGATGAGCTGAGGCAACAGGAACGGAGAGCGGCAGCTCCGAGCCAGCGACCCCGTTCATTCCTCCAGACGTCCATCAGTATGTGCGCTGTCAGCGCACGTCTCCCGCGGCGCCTCACGGGCAAGGGGCTCAAGCCCTCTCCAGACGCCGCCCCACGGCTACGGCTTCACGGGAAAGCGCCGGCCCTGGGAAGAGCGGTTCACCCTCTCACGCCTGCAGACGCACCTACAGCGAATCTGCCCGGAGCCGGCCTCGCAGGCAGCTAAAGGAGCCGAATGCTCCCACACCACTGCCTTCGTCCACACCTGCAGCTCGGCGGCGCCCGGGCTCAGAACCCCGAGGACGTGGTCACGCAGAGAAAGCGTTTTACAGCATCCCTGCAAACACTTCTAACAGTCTGCGGCGCCTAATTTTAGGTGTCAGCTTGGCCCTGGAGCCCAGACGTTGGGCCAAACTCCAGTCTAGATGTTGCTGTGATACTATATTTTGGATGTGATTAACGTTTACAATTAGGAGCCTTTGAGTAAAGCGGGTTATCCTCCGTAATGTGGGTGGGCCTCATCCAATCAGTTGAAGGCCCCAAGAGAGAAAGACGGAAGTCCCCCAAAGAAGAGGGAATTCCGCCTGAACGCTGCCTTCCAATTCCAGCCGCAACATCGTCTCTTCCCTGGGTCCCCAGCCTGTCATCTTGCCGTGTAGATTCCGGACTTGCCAACCCCACAATCTCTCTACACACATGCGTGCGTGCGCGCACACACACACACACACAGACACGCACGCACTTACCTCCGTTTCTCTGGAGAACACTGACAAGGTGTACTTCCTACATAAAAGCCACATCTACTATCTTCCACACCGGAAACGCAGAAACCAGTTGGATGGGAGTCACATACCAGCAATGGAGAAGATCGTTTACGTTGATCACAAGTGTGATGCTAAGTTCCCAGAGCCAGTGCCCCTCGGGGCAGGAAGACACTCCCATGGCTGCTCACCTCTCACTAAACCTTGATCTCAGCTCTTGGGAACGGCGCTCCCTCATGGCACAGACTTGGGAAACAACTTTCTACCTTAAAGATGATTCCTTTAAAATGTTCTCAAGAGGGGCGCCTGGGGGGCTCAGTTGGCTAAGTGTCCGACTCCGGATCAGGTCATGATCTTGAAGTTCATGAGTTCGAGCCCCGTGTCGGGCTCTGTGCTGACAGCTCGGAGCCTGGAGCTGCTTTGGATTCTGTGTCCCTCTGCCCCTCCCCCACCACGGCCAATCTGGGACTCCAGGGGCTCCCAGTCCCCACGGCCACCTCTCTGCCATCAGATAGTGCCTCCTCCAGAAGGATCCCATGTTTAAGAAGCACAGGCCCAAACCCCAAAGACTAGTTCCTTCTAGAAATAAGTACCAGAAAGCAGTATTTCATCAGTCACTCGGACACACTTACGGAGCTCTGCACTCACTTCTTGGGGCTGAATAAAAGAGAACCTCCGGCAAGGCGGCTGAGAATGGCCGGAATGTGTTCTCTCACAGCTCAGGAGCCCAGAAGCCCAAGGTCAAGGTGGCGGCAGGGCCGGCTCCTTCTGGAAGCTCCGAGGGAGAGGCCGTGTCATCCACTGTCCCAGCTTCTGGTGGCCTCCACCAGTGGCTTGTTTCTGCCTCTGTCTTCACAGCACCTTCTCCGGGTGTCCCCACAGGATGTCCAGGACTGGATTTCGGGCTCGCCTTGCTCCAGCATCTCACCTTCATGCGATTACATCTGCACCTGAGAACAAGGTCACAGGTTTTGGAGGGACACTGTTCAACCCACCACACCACTCTGGTCCAAACACCAGCACCACAAACAGCTAGGTCCCCTCACTGTGCTCCCAGCTGAGTCTGCTCAGGAATCCACCTCCTTGAGGGTGAAAGTTCCAAAAACTCAAAACCATCAAGTTCATGTCCAAGATGGGAGTCCTCTTCATCGTGCTAATGTGACACCACTCATGAGGGTCCCCTCAGTGTGGGGCTCCTTCCATTGCAAGGAACAGAGCCCACTCAGACCAGCCCACGTGGGACGGCGAGTGTGTGAGCCACACACGGCACCTTCCTTCAGGACAAGGGGACCCAGACCCAGCCTCAGGAGGGGAGCGCAGGGCCAGTGAGGCTCCAGGGTGGCCGTGCCCCTGTGACCTCTCTGAGGCTTCCCTCTCGACCGTGAACTTCTCATCGGACTTTTCCGTAGGTGACGCCAGAGGCCTCGCCGGCCCCTGTTCTATTTCCCTACAGTGGTCACAGGTCACAGTCCGTGTTCCAGACACGAAGTGACCGAGGGAGCAGGGCCACGTCCCTCGTAGACGCTGCCGGCCTAGGGAGAAGCCCCCATCCATCAGCGGGGGGGGAGGGGTCGTCATTTGATCCCGTGCATGTGACCCAGCAACTGCACACATGTGGGATTCGGAACGCGGACTACGCTCTCTCCACCAGGGCCCGGGGGCCTCCCCAGAGGGCAGGCCATTCGCCTGCATCTATGATGAGTAATTTGCCGGCTAGAAATACAGGGCACAGCCGCCTGCGGCCCAGAGGCCGATCCAGCCGGCAGCCTGGTTTTGTAAAAAAGCCCTGCAGGCGCCGTAGGAGAGCCTGGGGGGACGCGCTCCGTCCGCTGTAGAAACCGGATGACATTGGTCTGTGTGTGACGAACGCAGCTGTGAAGGCCCCGCAGGTGGGGACGGACGGGGACTGAGGGCTGGGAAGCGGGGTCAGGCCGGGCGGCCTCTCCTGTCACCTTTCTGTGCCCGCAGTGGCTCCGTGCTGCCCCGCCCGCGGTGAGGACTCTGCCACCAGCCCAATGGCGGGTATGAAGAAGGAAGGCTAATGTGTTTTAAAACCACTCGACCCAAATGAAATTATATAACCCAGGAAGGGACACATCATGTCACTGATGAGTTTTAAGAAAAGAATAGAAGAAAGAAAAGAAACAATGTGGAGACTCTGTCCTGATGCCACCCCGAGGGCGGGGGACGCGGTGAAGGGGGGCAGGTGGGGTCTGGGCTGCTTCCTCCTCGGGTTATAAAAGGGGGTGAGCTGGCCCTGTCTGGGTCACCACTGCGTGCACAGGCTCGCGGGGACCGTGGTGAGTACCCCTTCCACCCCCACTGTTTCTCTGTGCTCCTTCCCCATCACTCTCCTTGCTGTCGGGCTGGGGCGGGGGAGCCCGGGTTTGTGTGTCTGAGGGGCACCCACCTGCCTAGACCCCCCCCATGTCCAGCGTTGGCCACGGAAGACACAAGGGACAGAACTGTCCCTGCAGCTCCTGTGGGAATGCAGACGGGAAGCCCGGTGGGCCGGCGGCGAAAATCTCCAGGGCAGAGAAGCGGGGCCCTGGGGACCCTGGGCAAGTGCTGCCCCTCCCATGAGGCCAGCCCCCCGCCTGGGTCCCGCCAGCCCGTCCGGATGGGTCTCTTCATCACTCTGCTTCCATGGTGACACCTCCGTGCCCCCCGAGTCCCACCCGGTGTGTGACACGCCACCACGGAGGTGGGCTCTCAGACCAAGAGCGCTTTCCATGGGGCTGGGGCGCCCTGGAAAGTCAAGGTCTGCAGGGGGGGCCTCCCTGGAACACATGGGGTGCTCGGGGGCCTTCGGATGGTCCCCAAAGTGCTGCGGGTGGGGGCCCGTGGGGGAGGAGTGCCAGATCCCCCGATGAAGCCGGTGAGGCGGGGGAGGGAGGACCTCTGGGTGCCCTCGCGTCCCACCGTGCAGCCCCGCGTGGTGGGCGTCCTGTGGGGAGTCCTGGGCCGAGCGAGGGAAAGAAGCCTGCACCGGGGACCCCCGGCCCCCAGCCGCGTCTGAGGCAGGCAGGCCTCCCCCTGCGCCCTCCACCTCTGCAGCCACCCTGGGGACCTGTAGCCCACACCCTGCTCGCCTCTGCCCCTCTGCCCGTGTGCACAGCATGCACACAGCGGCACGAGAGCGCCCGTGCCTCCGGCTCCCCGACAGACAGACAGACGGAGGCCGTTCCAAGACAGCCCACCTCTCCACGCACCGCTTGTTCACCTGCCTGGTTCCTTCCGATGGCAGAGGGAGGGCGCAAGCGTGTCTGAGCCCGCCCGAGGCTGCCACACAGATGGTCGCCTCCTGGAACGCTCACTGCACAGAATGAGGTCCCAGGGAGGGCGGCACGCTCTGCCAAGAGCCAGTGTGCCCGCTATGTGTGTGCCCAGATGCCCTCCGGCACCAATCCGAGCAGTGCACGGCCGGGTGTGTCTGCACGCACACCACGAGCTTCACACGTGCACGGGCTGTGACCGCACCCGCATGTGGTCCCAGGTGCACTGCCTCAGGCATGTGCATGCACACGTGTACACTCACATGTGCGTGCACACACCCTCTCACACTCACATTATCCGAGGCTCCCACCTTTGTCGGCAGGCACCCTCCCGCGGGCGTCAGGTAACGCTGCTCCCGCCCTCCCCCAGGTGGTGCCCTCCGGGTGGGGACCCGCCTCAAGCCAGCCCAGAGCGCGGAGCCTGGGGATGGGGGCTTTGCAGGCCTGGCTGCTGGGCCTGCTGCTGCTGGGCCCGGCCCTGCGGGGGGCTGCGGGCCACGGCCGCCAGCACTCCATGGAGCTCCGCGGTGAGTGAGCACTGGGCCTCAGCCTCCCTCAACCGCCCCCCCCAGCCCCCCTGCCCCCGCGCTCAGCACAGAGTTGAGGGGTTCATTCCCGAGACCCTGGGGGGCGGGGGGAGGAAGGGTTGCTATTTAGCTTGAGTTCCCGTTTCCGGAAGCTGCCCGCTGCCCAGAAGTGACCTCGCCCGCCACCCACGGGACGGACAGCAGCCACGCGCCGGGGACCCCGCGCACGAGCTCTTGCCCTTCCTTCCCAGCCCCCCACATCGATCCCGCCTGGTACGCTGGCCGCAGGGTCAGGCCTGTGGGACGCTTCGGCCGGAGGAGAGCAGACCCCGCGGGTGCCGTGAGCCAGCCAGCCTGCTCCCCGCTGGGAGGAGGCGCTGAGCCCGCCTGGGACGGGTGATAGCCCAGCACGGGACGACAGGACGACAGGAGCCCCCCACCCCCCTCACGCCACCTTCCCTCCAATCCTAATAAAAGCAGCTGGCCTTGTTTAGTTGCATCTCTTTGGTGGCAAACTGGGGGCTGTTTTCCCTCTGGGACGTTAGCCTGAAGGACGCTCAGAGCCCAGCAGCCCAGAGGCTCCGGGATTGCCTGAGGGCTCCCGGCACTGGCTACGGGGCTGGGACCTTCCGGGGTCACCTGCAGCCCGTACTGCCCTCCACCCGAGCGTCTCTGAGCAGTTGCCCCGGCTGCACACTGCACCACACAGTGTAGGAGGCCCCCGGGGTGAGGGGCGGAGGCAGCACAGCCCCTCACCCTGACCAGTCCCTCGCTGAGCCCAGTCCTTTCACCTCCCTTGTTTGCACTCGCGAAGAAAGACAAGTGTGAGGTGCTTGTTTCTAATCAACAGTGGGAGACTCAAGCTTAAATGAAGCGCCCTGTGTCCCTTGGCTGCCCGTTTCAAATTGCACCAGGATGTCCCTACGTCCTGCGTCGGAGGAGCCAGGGCCACAGCACCACTAACTGGATCATGGAGCCCAGTCCTTAACTCCGAGCCTCAGTTTCCCCATCTGAACTCCCCAGGACGGGAGCACCCACCTCACTGCACAGCTCAGGCAGTCACGGCACCCGCTCGCAGGCCAACACGGTGTGGTGTTCCGTGTAAAGCCCCTCCCCACGGCCCACCCCACCCCAGCGTGCAGGGAGGGGAGGAGAGTGGGGATGGTCTTAGCCAGTCACTTCCAAACCCAAAGCACGCGGGCCTCTGCCCGCACCGTGCTTGCAGGGTCTCTGGAGCCCGCCTCCACTGCCAGGCTTCCGTCCATCCACACCCACCCGAGGGACCCCAGACCCCAGCTGTCCCTGCTCCCGCTGGAGGAAGGTGGGGCCAGGGCTCAGCAGACTTAGGGAGGAGGCAGAGCCGCAGGGGCCAGGCGGCTGCGGGACCAGGCCTGGGACAGGGTGCCGCCGGGGAAGCAGGTCGCAGCAGACCCTCAGGAAGTCAGACACCGAGTCTCCAGGGGCTTCCGGGTGCATCCCCGAAAGCCCCGAGAACCGGGGTCACGCATGTGTCTATGGGAATGTTCACAGCAGCACAGCACAAGGCACAGCGGGCGGTCCCAACAGCCGTCAGCTGGTGAACAGACCTAAGTGCGTCCATCCACACGGTGCATTTGTCTTCGGCCACAGAAAGGACGGGTCTCTGCCGAGGCCACGGCTCGGGTCCTCGGTGATGCCAAGTGGAAGGCACGGAGGCCCACACCGCGTGTGATCAGGTTGATGGGAAATGTGCAGAAGAGAGACAGAGAGCAGATCGTTGGTTGCCAGGGTGACTGCCTAACAGAGGGGCTTTTCTCTCCAGGGACCAAAATGTCTGGAACTGGATGGAGGTCATTGCTGCAGACACTGTAAATGTGCTAACCCCACTAAATTATACCCTTAAAAAAAAAAAATTCACACGGAAACGCAACACACAGCGGTGTGACGATGAACTCCTGATGAGCTCCCTGGGGTGCTCTGCTAGGCAGCCCCAGGGCATTCACACATCTGTGCCCAGAGGGGTGAAGAGGTGGGAGATTTATGGTTCCTGTAACTTTTTATGAAAGTTTTTAAACACACAGGAAAGTTCAAAAAGTAATCTAATGAGCATCCCACATACCCTCCACTTAGAATCAACAATTTTTATTGTATGTATTTCTCTCTCTCTCTCCCTCCATTTGGAAGGACAGTCTCCTGCATAACCACAAGACTATCATGCCTAAAACATTTTCTAATAATTCCATAATATCATCTAGATTCTAGTCCATATTCAAAAACCCCCAAGTTGGGGCGCCTGGGTGGCTTAGTCGGTTGAGCGTCCGACTTTCGCTTGGGTCATGATCTCGCGGTTCGTGGGTTCGAGCCCCGCTTCGGGCTCTGTGCTGACTGCCAGCTCAGAGCCTGGAGCCTGTTTCAGTCTGTGACTCCCTCTCTCTCTGACCCTCCCCTGCTCACGCTGTCTCTCTCTCTCCTAGAAATAAATAAATAAAACATTAAAAAAAAAAAAAAAAAAAACCTCAAGTATGGCCAGAAAATCTTGGCTGTCTTTTTCTTTCTTTCTTTGTTTTTGAAACGAGATTAACCCCTGACCTTATTTTATTGTGACATTGACTTTCACAAGAGCCCAGAAGTGTCACCCTGTAGAATGATCTGGTTTGTGAGGTGTACATTGTTCCCTTGTTCTGTCCCCGAACTTCCTGTGGTCTGAGAGGTAGACCCAGAGCCTCAGCTGGATTCAGGTGTCGCTGCGGGCACCTCTGCTCTGTGCCCCTCCTGCCCCGCAACTGATGGCCAGTCCAGGGCCCACACGGGCAGATGCTGGGTACATCTGGGTGTGACCCTGGCCTGGAGGGGGGATCTCCACTGTCAGGGGTCTTCTGCACAGCCCTGCGTGCCCAGCACCCCCAGCCGGTGATTAACACCCTCACTGAGCATCCCTGCTGGGAGCCAACGACCTCACCGGTGGGTCACACAATGGAGATTCTCCAATTCCTTCCACATCTATTAGGTCGATTCTTCTAAAGGAGGTCTCTCTCTCTCTCTCTCTCTCTCTCTCTCTCTCTGTCTTTCTCTCTTTTTGTTCAACACCTTACAAATAATATTAGATGCTTAAATTGTCCACAGTTTGGCCCAGTGGGAGCCCCAAGAAAGGAATACATTTTAAAAGAAGAAGAATGGGTCCCGGAGTCGACCCCTCTGAGCTGTTAAAAGACAGAACGCAAACATTTGAAGACCTAATTGGCTTTACTAAGCAGCCCCTGAATCGGACGGCGGCATTCAGTGTAGCCAGCAGACCCGGTCTGCCAAGCTTCAGGAAAGGAAAGCTTTTTAAGGACAGAGAGAGAGAAGGTTCTTTGTTTTGTTTTTGGTTTCTGTTTTTTTAAGGAATCTATTAGCCTTGTTTAGGCAAAGTCGCCCTCCTAAGGGGGACGGGGTCTTGCAAAGGATGGCCTCCAGGGAGTCCCAGTTTGGCGGGTTCAAGGTTACATTCCAGAAAGAGTTGAAACTGCGGTTGTTAAGTATTAAATCTTGTTTTACTAACATAGGACCCGAAGTGGCCCCGTTATGGCCTGTGGTTTTCTTTTCAACGGTGCAGGGGAGACCCTTCCAGTGGGGCTGCTTCCCGCACAAAAAGAAGGCAGGGAAAGGGCACCTCCACTGGCAGGGCTCCTCCCAGGGGCCACTTACCACCCGCCCCCCCAGGCTCCTGCCTCCCTCGCGTGCAGGTGTGCACACACACACCAGCTCCAGAAGGGACCCGGGTCCAAACTCCGGCAACGGCAACGTGGGTGCGGAGCGGCTTCCCAGGCTGCGGGCAGGACAGTGGGCTCACAGGCGGGCGCCCCCCAGTGGCGGGGTTTGGGAGTGCAAGGGGATCCGGAGCTGACGGCCAAGAAAGAATTCTTGAGACGTCTTTGGTGCAAAAAGGTGATTTTGTTAAAGCACGAGGCCAGGACCCGTGGGCAGGAAGAGCTGCCCTGGGGTTGTGACGGCGACGGTTATATACCTTCAGGTTGGGAGGGGGTGAGGGACAGCACAAGACTCTAAGGTACTTTGGAAGTGAGGTTTCCAGGACCCTGAGGGGCTGGCTGCTGTTAGGGAAAGGTCATTTATTACTGTTTAGGGAAAACTGTCATGAGCGCCTTCAGATGGATGTCAGCTTGGAGGATGATGGCCAACATATATCTCGGGCGGTAGAGATAAAGGAAGTTTAGAAAGGAATTAGTGTATGTTAACATAGACTCACAGGATCCTGGGGGGTCGGGATAACATTAAGCTAAGTCTGCCTTTTCCGCGAGCAAAGTGTCACCATCCAGGCAGCAGGAAGGTCACTGCCTGCTTCAAGGACTTGTCAGGCGGCTGCAGGCAGTAAGGAATTAAACTTACCGTTTGCCTTAGTTTCCCACATCCCCAGGACCAGAGTCCACTGCACACCGGAGCTGGTATTCGTGGGGACCCTGCCGGGAATGCCTGCCAGTCCCATCTCTCCGCGTGGCCACTCCCACCGCCCCCCACCCCAATCTCAGATTTCAGGATGGGGCTGAGACAAGGTGGGTGAAGCACAGATACAGAGAGTTTCCTAACACCTGTCACTGTGGAAGCTGTTTCTGAGAAGCCCGCCTTCCCTCTAGATCTCGGGTGAAAAGCCAGCTCTATCCTCTCATCAGGCACACGACTGTTGAGCGCCCGGAGTGTGTCACATGCTGTCCCAGCACCGAGTGCCCCAGAGGAAAAGGCCGGCTAGACCCTCTCCCCTCGGGTGCTCCTCCAAAACATTAGGTCCACCTGAGAGGGCGGGAGCCCAGGCCCACGCTGCACTGCAGACCGATTTAACCCGAGCCTGCAGTGGGCGAGGGCTGCTGCCGGGGTGGGGGGGGGGTGCTCCCCGGTCATTCCAGGGCAGGGTTGAGCCACCTGCCTAGTGGGGCAGAGGCGGGGAAAGGGAGCAGTCACATCCTGGGTGATGGGGAACTGAGCTCCCCAGTGCACCCCGTCCAGTCTAGGTCACCGTGCAAGGATGCCTGATGGAAGTTAAGTCCAAGGATATGTTTTAATAATAAATTCCAGCACAGTGATCCTCTCTCGACAGAACAGGAGGGAATATAGACGCGTGGGCGTCCTACAGAGATCCCCTTCATGTCCCCCACTTCCTGTTGCGTCAATCAGCTCATGAGAAATCTCTGAAAGCCTGGCATTGAGCAGAGTGAACACCCGACCGGTGCCCTTGAGCCGCCGGGTCTGCCTTAAGTGATGCTAGATCGCCACCTCGTGGCCAGGGGCGCCCTCAGCCTCCTGTGGCCTCCAAGGGGGATGGGGCAGGCCCCTGCTTCGGCTGCCGCAGGGACGACCACAGAGTGGGGGAGCAAGAAGACACAGCCTGGCACCCCAGGGACTCACACTCCACACATTTCATTTACGCGGCAATAATTGTGAAAACCCGGGCAACTCGACCACAGTCCGAAACTGTCACGGATGAAGTCCTTGAAGAAAAAAAATAACACGAGTGGAAACCAAGGAAGCAGGCCCTTCTCCGATGCTACTATTTACTGTATCTGCCTTGTGCCTTTTCTCAAAGATCATGCAAGAGAAGCCTGAGAAATCTGCTTGAGTCGAGGAAGACCCCTGAGAAGCGCTTGGAGACCATAGTCAGGAAGGCGTGGATCCGTGGACCCCTGGGCCACGTGCCCTCCGGTTAGGATCCCCCAAGGATGAGGCTGGAGTGCAGGGCGTCCCGGGCTGCAGGGCGAGGGCGCGACCAGCTGCCAGGACTGAGAAGGGACCCCCGTGGGGAGCCCGACCTTGGAGGGTGCGGCCAGGCGGGGGTGCCCTCGCCTAGGCGGGTCCCAGGCAGTGGCTGCGTCCGTGTCCTGGTCAGTCCGTGGCCAGGGCTCCTCTGAGCTGGGCCCCCGCACAGGTCCAGGTATGGGCTGGGAGGGCCCTCCCACGCGGGGGGCTGAGGGGCCCCTAGAAATGCCGCCACGTGCTTTGTGGACGACACGCATCCAGACTCAGCGTGAAGGGGCGCTCTGCCTTGGCCCTGCTGCTGATCTTCAGTCGACCCCCAGAGCCGCCCTTCCGGGGGGACGACATCTTCGTACTCAAAGCTTCAGACTCGCTCATCACGTCCCAGGGACTGGGATGAGACCAACACCTCCCCTCCCCCCGCAGTAAAACAGCCACCTGGACATCAGGGCTGAGCTCCCAGGACCACCTAGACCTCCCCCTGAAGGGGGCAGTAAGGGGGGGGACACATGACGTGTCACCGTCGGGGCCACCTTTGTCACAGCCTGTGCGTGGGCCGCCTCCCCGTTCGCTGGCCACCTCCTGGCCACGTGCATGACACACCCCAACCTTGCAAACTCTCCGCCCGCCAGGTTATAGACCGCGGTTCCGTGTTTGGGAACATGGAACCCCCAAAACTTACACCACGGGGCCAAGAGTGGGGCTCCCGGGGCACAGGCATCAGCTGGTCAAGCTCAGAGCCAGGAGAAAGGGGGGGAGGGCCTTGGCACCCCAACCCCACCCCGCCCCCAGCTGCCCCCGGGAGGGTCCCGGCCCTGAGAGGCAGGAGGTGGACGCAGCCCCCTGATGCGCACCCCATCTCCTCCCAGCACCGCCACCCCCGTCCGGGCCTGCCCCCCCACCACCCCCCGCCCACAGCTCCCAGGACCAGGCGGGCCCAGCCCCAGACAGTGCGCCGTCCCGCACAGGCTCCCCCCACCGCCCCGCTTCTCTCTGCACCAGGCGGCGAGGCAGCTGAGGGGAGTTGGAATCCAGGCAGGGGCGGGCGCACCTGCCCCGGGGATCTGGGGAGTCTGGAATCGGCATCTGCTGGGGGGGCGACACCCACCCCAACACCTACCCCGTCTGCACGAGGTCTAAAATCTTATTGTTTAAATTTTTTTTTAATGTTTATTTATTTTTGAGAGAGAGAGATGCAGAGTGCGAATGGGGAGGGGTAGAGAGAGAGGGAGACACAGAATCCCAGCTGTCAGCACAGAGCCCGACGCGGGGCTCGAACCCACAAGCCGTGCGATCATGACCTGAGCCGATGTCAGACGCTTAACCGACTGAGCCCCCCAGGCGCCCCTAAAACTTTAAAGAGAAAAGAGTTTTATTGCAGTCCAAGCGAGGACATCGGCCCAGGACACATGATCTTCATGAGGAAGAGCAGGGTCACATACGTCTTTTACATAAGGAATTACAAAGCATCATGGCAAAGAACATTCCGGAAACTTGTAGATTTTTATCTTACGTTTGTAGTGTGTGTGAGGCTGCGTGACTTTAATCTTACCGGTTTTTCTGTTTCTTATCTTTATGTCTAATAAGCTCCTTGTTGGGTTTTTGTTTTTTGTTTTTTTTGTAACAGAGCCGACACACAAGATGTGCTAGGGACAGAAACAGACTGCAAGCTTGGAAAAGGCTTGGCCCCTTGGTAAATGTAAAAGTCCAGCTTCCTCGGGAGCAAGGGGCAGGGCCCACAAACCCTGAAAGGCGACAATGTCCTTTGTCAGCCCCGGGAGCCCCTCCCGCCCCCCGCCCCCCCCACCCCCACCCCCACCCCCGGCACGGGGCCCTCTCCTGAGTGACTCCCTCCAGCTCTGAAGTGCTGACGTTCAGGGACGCCACCTTCCGGAACCTCTAGGACTTGGGGCAACACGCCTACTTCGGGGTGCATCCGAGTACGTGGCCGTGGCAGCCGCTCACCCTGAGGGGCACCCGGAGCCGGGCCAGGCTGCCGTCAGCGGGCACAGCACCTGGCCTGCCTGGCAGGCGCCCCACCCAGAGCCAGCCCCCCGTCGCCCGTCCGAGGCTGGCCCTTCTTCCTCTCTTCTCTCTGCAGCAGCTCTCGGGCTGTGAGGGACAGAGGACGGGGGTCTGGGAGGGCAGGCCCCCCCCAGCGTGCACCCTGCCCACGGGGCAGCCCCGAGACGGACCCCATCCTCCCAGATGGTCACCCAGAGCCACGAAGCCCGGGCCCTGGCAATCTTCCAGCCCCCGGAGACATTCCGTCGGGTCCCAGGGCACCAGAAAGAAGACCCGAGAAGCAGAGCCCGCAGGGATGACCCCCCCTCGCCCCGGCTCTCCTGGGGGGCCCACCACTCACCTATGGCGCCGAAGACCTCAGTCACCTGGTAGCTCAGTTTGGCTGAGGCCTCCATGAATAGCAGCTGCTTGCTCTCCGCAAACTCCTTCCCTTCCTGGGGGACGTGGCCGCACATTTACGACACGGCTTTTCCCCCCGCGCCTGGGTGGCTCAGTCTGTGGAGCCCGACCCCATTTCTTCTCAAGCCGTGATCTCATAGTTCTCGTGATCAAGCCCCACATCAGGCTCTGCACTGACAGCCTGGAGTCTGCTTGGGATTCACTCCCTCCCTCTCTCTCAGCCCCTCCACTGCTCACGCTTTCTTTTTCAAAGTAAATAAATAAACTTTAAAAAATTTTTTTTACGAGAAAGCAGTCTCTTCCCTAGGAATACTCAATTGCCTGCCAAGAACCAAGACCAGTGACGGCTCCCAGTTCTGTGCCTGATCGTCTCCTGCAGGGCCCAGGGCCGGGGAGGCGGGGAGGCGGGGAGGGCCCGCAGGAGAGGGGGTCCCCTGCCAGCGGAGCCTGAGCCTCCATGGGAAGCTGGGGGCTCCCTGCCCACACGTCTGTCCAGCACCCGTGGGCTCTGACGTGGGGCCAGCCAAGTGAGAAGGCGACCCAGCAGGGCCCTTCTTCTGGGGGTCCCTTCTTGCTTTCCACGTGGCTAGTACTGCGGGGGGGACCCATCGGGGTGTTAGAGGGACACGGATAAAATCTGAACAACGTGTGTACTTGGTGGTATTGTAGGAATGTCCATTTCTGGATTTGATCACTGCTCTGTGTTTTTGCCAGACGTTAGCATTCGGGAAGCTGGGAGAAGAGCATGCAGGAACTTTCTGTCACACTTCTGCACCCCTTTTTTGTAATTCTGAAATTATTTTAAAATAAAAGCCAGGGGCGCCTGGACGGCTCAGTCAGTTGAGCGTCTGGCTCTCGATTTGGGCTCAGGTCATGATCCCAGGGTTGTGGGATCAATCGAACCCCACAGTTGCTCGCTCTCTCTCTCTCTCTCTCCCTCTGCCCCTCTCCCCCACTCGCAAACCCTCTCTGTCTCTCTAGAATAAAAATCAGGGGCGCCTGGGGGGGTCAGTCGGTTAAGCGTTCGACTTCAGCTCAGGTCATGATCTCACGGTTCATGAGTTCTGTCAGCACAGAGCCCACCTCTGTCTCTATCCCCCTTTCTGTCCCTCTCCCCTGTCTCAAAAATAAACATTAAAAATTTTAAATTAAATTAAATTTAAATAATTTTATCTAATAAAAAAATACAGCGAAAGCCAGAAAGCTAACGTAAGGACCTGCACACCCGCAAGTCAGCCTTGGCCCTGTCTCAGCCCACGCACCTGCGGCCCCCTGTCCGTGCTGGATGCCTGTGTCCCGGGCACCTGCCCGACCCAAGCCCGGCTGTGCTTAGTGGGAGCTCAGAATAAAGAAGGGGCCGGGGTGGTGGCTGAGGGCCCGCGTGGCCCGTGGGGTCTACAGCCCTGGCCCCAGGCGGCCATTCCGTGCGCTCTAAGCCAGGAGCCCCCTCCCACGGGCGGGGTGGGCTCAGACCAAGGCAGAGGTGCCGGGAAAGCGGGACTCAGCAGGGCTTCCTGCCTCCCAGGGGGCTCCGGGCCCCAGCCCCCCAGCTCGGCCTGATCTCGCCTCCAAATGCTCTTCCCGTCCCGCCCCGGCCCCCTGCTTCTCAGACTCCTCCGAGGACTCACAGTTGCCCCCGAAATGATGGCCCCAATCCTTAGCACCACACGCTAGGACCCTCTGCTTCCGAAACTATGTGCCTTCTCATCAGGGCCACCTCCTCTGGCGGGATCACTCCCTCGCCTTCCTCCAGGGAGCCCTCCCTGCAGCCAACACCCAGCCCTTCCCTCCATCACACTCCACTTGCTGTGCCCGCATCTGCCCCTCCCAAAGCCATTCCTGAGATCAGCCCGCACACACGCGTGCAGGCACGCACACACGCGTCCACAGCATTTTATACACACACACCTTCTACACCCACACACCCACACCTACACACACACATATCCTATGCACGCACACCTCCTTTACACACACGCACACACCCCTCCTGTGCACAGAACACACACAGATCCCTCCTATACATACGCACACATATCGTATACATACACACCTGTGCACACACACACACCTCCTACACACACACATGCACACCTCCTGTACACACACAAGCATACAGCACACATATACCTCATACATACACATACCTACACACCCTCCTATGCACATGTAAATGCCACCTATCCACACACCTCCTATACTCACACCCCTCTGTACACACATATGCACACCCTGTACTCACAGACACATGCACACACCTCCTACATACACACACCCCTCCTGTGCACACACACACACCCTGTGCACACACACACCCTGTGCACACACACACACCCTGTGCACACACACACCCTGTGCACACACACACACCCTGTGCACACACACACCCTGTACACACACACACCCTGTACACACACACACACACACACGCCTCTTGCTCACTGCTCTGGCTTCTCACACGCATGCACTTTCCATGTGTCTCTGCAGCATTTATTCTGCCTTTGGTCAATTCATAGAACTATGGTTTTCTTTTAAAAAAAAGTATTCATTTTTGAGACAGAGAGAGACAGAGTGTGAGCAGGGAAGGGACAGAGAGAGAGGGAGACACAGAATCTGGAGCAGCCCCAGGCTCCGAGCTGTCAGCACAGAGCCTGACGTGGGGCTCAAACCCACGAACCGTGAGATCAGACCTGACCCAAAGTTGGACGCTTAGCCGACTGAGCCCCCAGGCGCCCCAACCATGGCTTTCTTATCTTCTAGCCCCTGCTCAGTTCCTAGCAAGGAAATCTGGTTTTATTTACTTGTCCCTTTTTCAATAATTGATTGAACACAGAGGAGCAGATCTGAAAGCCCGCATAACTCAGCTTGGGACGGAGGGGCAAGAAGGGCCACAGTGTCCTCATGAGCCCGGCCCCCAGGGCCCTGGGAGGTCGCAGGGGTCCTCCCCCTTCCAGGACGGCTGGCCTGGGCCGTGCACCCCAATCTGGGGAATGACCCTCTCTAGGCCTGACTTTTCCAGGAAAGACCAGAAATCTTTGCCCAAAAGGGAAATGCAGGTAGGAAGTATATATGAGTGTTTGCAATGTGCGTGCAGGTGCGGAGTGCAGGGGGTGTGCCGTGACAGCGAGGGTGGCGGACGGGCGTGGGCGTGCACGGGAGTGGTGGTGGGCGCCTCGGGGGTCGCCCTCTTCTCCCCTCGGGGAGCCACACCACCCTGCCCCAAGCGCTACCTGGAACGTCACCTCCCGCTGCTCCTCGATGTCCGTCTTGTTGCCGACCAGCATCACCACGACGTCCCCCGGGGGGGCTTCCCTCTCCAGGTCCTGTAGCCACTGCTGGGCTTTGCGGAAGGAATCCTAACAGAGAAAAGCCTTCACATCAGACAAACCTCCGGGGGTTTTCACGGCTCCCCCACAACGGAAATGCAGGGTGAAAATGCAGATGTCCGGCCACAGGCAGAGGCCCAGAGGGTGCTCTGTCCGCCCCCCAGGAGGGGTGGGTCTTCTGGCTTCGGTGCCCTGGTCCTGCCCCACCCCCCCAGCGCCCAGTGTGGCGGCTGCGGGCTGTTCAGGGTCAGACTTGCAGCTCCTGGGCCCCTCCCTCCCGGGTGCCCTCGGGACCGCTCTGTGCAGGAGTCTGGGGGCGTGGCTCTCACCCGATCTTACCTTTGCGCCCCTGGACACCAGCCTGGGGAGGCCGGCCCTGGGCCCCACGGAGCCCCTCTCCCCTCAAGTGGGCGCCTCCCACTCTGCAGCCCTTCCCACCCCCACACACTCCGCTCTCCACTGAGAACTGTCTTCCCTTCCTGCTCACCTGCCCGCAGCTGCCCCCCTGCCCCGCCCTGCCCCACAGGCTACTCCCCCCTTCCCCCCACCCCTGCCGGAAGGGAAGCCTCCCAACCCCAGGCTGAGTCAGGCGCCCTCCCTCCTCCTGCTGTAAGCCCCGTTCACGCCTACTTACTATCTACCCAGGGGGGTGTGACACTGTGGGGGGTGTGAGGTACAGCCAGGGGCCGAGTGCTGTTTCCATGACACAACCCCTCCCCAATTCCGTGGGCACCCAAGGAATCTGCGGGGTGTTCTGAGAGGACCACGGAGGGGCACAAACTCAACCATGTAGGAGTTATCAGTGAGGGCTTCCTGGAGGAAGCAACAGACTTTCATTAAAGTGTTTTCTACTGGTTGTGTTGATTTTACCATAAAGCACCGGCATGGGCTGGTCACAGAAAGCCTTCAGAGGATCGCCTCCCTGTGACTGACAGAACTGGAAAGCGGATGCCTTGAGGAGGTGGGTGGGGACGCCCCCCAAGGGGAGCCTCACCTTCTTGGTGATGTCGTAGACCAAGAGCGCGGCGTCGGCGCCGCGGAAGTACAGGTGGCAGATGCTGTGGTACTTCTCCTGGCCGGCCGTGTCCCAGATCTCCAGCCTCATGGACGCAGCCCCCGACCCCAGCTCCTTTGTGAAGAACGCACCTGAAACGGAAGCCGGGGGCAGCTTCACCTGAAGGACGGGGTCTTTACCCCCAGGTCGGGCTGGGCCGGCGTGAGCCCTGGGCTCAGAGGTGCCGGCCGGCCGTGCGCTTCCCGCTGCCCACGCCGGGTGGGCTGAGCGAACACCTCTCCCGGCAGATGGTGGCTTCGTGAAAAGAAAAGCCTTATAGGCCATTTGCTGTGGATGCCATACAGATTCCGCAGACGCTGCGGGTGGGCGATGAGCTCTCGGAGCCCGAGGACAAAGTCCCCCAGACGGCGGGTCAGGGAAGGGGTCTCGGACGGCTAGGGGTCCAGCGTGTCCCTGTGGGCTTCCAGTGATGTCACCTGAGCCCCGGAGACTTCTAGAACCATTCACACCCCTGCCCCACCGGCCACTCAGTGGCCAGACCAACCTGGCCGAGAGGTGCTCACGACCACACCAGTGCTCCCCCAAATTCCTCCTGCCTCCTGCTGACCCCCCGTCCTCATCCATGCCTCCCCCTGCCGGCCCTTCTCCGCGGGCCCCGCTTGGCATCATTCCTCTGGCCGCCTGTGTGTCTGCCAAGGTCTTCAGGCATCAATCAGCCTTAAAGGGCACCTGCTAAGTCCTGCCTCTTCCCAAGGATCAGTCTCTGGCAGCCTCTCCGTGCTCCTCACACACGTGCGCACACACACGTGCACATGCACACACACACGTACCTGAAGGCACAGGCATACTTCTGTGTTCTCACCTGTCGCCCTGGGGCCAATGGGCAGGGACCTGTATTCATTCTCGTCCCTGCTTAATAATCACGCTCAGCGAAGGCTCTACCCCAGACCCTTTCATTCAACGTACTGGCAAATCCACCTTCTATTTGATTTTTTTTTTTAATGTTTTATTTATTTCTGAGAGAGAGAGAGCATGAGCAGGGGAGGGTCAGAGAGAGAGGGAGACAGAATCCGAAGAGGCTCCAGGCTCTGAGCTGTCAGCACAGAGCCTGACGCAGGGCTCGAACCCATGAACCATGAGATCATGACCTGAGCCGAAGTCTGACTCTTAATGACTGAGCCCCCCAGGTGTCCGACCGTCCATTTGATTTTTAACTCTGAGCTTTACTTGTCAGAGTGGTGGGATTTTAAAATAGTTGTTTAGTGGGGTGACCAGGTGGCTCATTCGGTTAAGTGTCCGACTCTTGATTTCAGCTCAGTTTATGATCTCAGGGTTCATGGGATCGGGTCCCACATCAGGCTCTGTGCTTTCAGCACAGCTTGGGACTCTCTCTCTCTCTCTCTCTCTCTCTCACACACACACACACACACACAAAATAAGTACACTTTATAAATCAACAAATGAAATAGTTGTTTGGTGACAACAAAGGGTTCTGCTGCGTCCTCCACAGAACAGAAGGGAGAGGCTGGGAGGGGCCGGGGAGCCCGGCGTCCAGAGCAGGGAGGAGGCTCCAGTCGGAGCTGCTGCTCTGCCCAGATCCCAGGCCGGGTTTAGGGCCTGTTGGGGGACACAACCGCGTGCCAGCAATTACAACTGTCACTGCCAGGCCCCGGGCGTCCATCTCCTGGCTCTGCCGTGACCGATCACCACGAGCTGGGCAGCTCAGAACAGCAGGCATCCTTTCTTTCCGTCCAGAGGCCGGAGGTCCGAAATCAAGCTGGCAGCAGGGTTGGCTCCTTCTGGAACCTCTGAGCAGCCTTTCCTTGCCGCCCTGCCGGCCTCTGGCAGTTGCTGGAACCTTCTGGCGTTTCCCAGCTTGGAGACACATCACCCCATGTCCACCGCTCTCCACAGCCCTTCCCCTCCGTGGCTCTGTGCTCGCGCTCTGTCTCTCTCTCCTGCTCTCACGGGCACAACGGTCATCGACTCAGTGCCGGCCCCAGACCCAGGAGGATCCCACCCTAACATCCTAACTAATCACAGCCGCAAACACTCTTTTTCCAAACGAGGCCACATTCACAGGCCCTGGGGATTAGGGTGTGGCTTTATCTATTGGGGGACAACACAGCCTCTGTGACAGAGGAGAAGGGGTGAGTGTGGGCTGAGGTCTTCAGCACAGAGTGGGTGGAATTCCTCGCATGAGAACCTAGGTTCGGGTGGCTCGTGACAGAACCCAGCAACGGGCGTCCTCTGCCTGCACAGCCTGCGTTTCCCCGCGTGTCCACAAACCTGAGGTCAGATGACCTTCCCAGGTGTTGGGCCTGGACGTCTGCGTCCCCTCCCAAACTTCAGACGTGAGGTCCTGACCCGCAGAGGGCGGTATTGGGAGGTAGGGCCTTTGGGAGGTGATTAGGGTTAGAAGTGGCCTTGGGGGTGGGGCCCCCACGGTGGGATCATGACCTTGTAAGAAGAAACACAGATGCCTGATCTCTCTCTCCCTCTCTCTCCCCCCAACCTCCCCTCTCTCTCCTTCTCTCCCTCTGCCCTCCCTCCCTCCCACGCGAGCACAAAGAAAGGCTATGTGAGCGCACAGCAAGGCAGCAGCAACATGGCGGCACCCACAGGGCCAGAGAAGAGGCTTCAGAACAAACCCCATCGGGCGGCTCGCTGACCTCCGACGTCAGCCTCCAGAACTGTGGGAATAAATCTCTGCGGTGTAAGCCACGGGGTGGGTGGTGTCTGTTGTGGGGGCCTGAGCACTTCGGCTCTGGGTCAAACAAAGCTGCAGCCCATTTCAGAAATATGACTAAGGGCTCCCAGCTCCCACGGGGCTACCATGAGGCTTGAACAGGGACCAGGAAGTAAGCGGAGGCCACTGCCAGCTTCCCCGGGGGCCTCACTCTCCGGTCCGCCCCCTCTTCAGCAACCCTAGCTGCCAATCCTTTCCTTCTCCACTGTGTAAAAGATGGCTCTCGGCTGAGCGAAAATCTGTGCAGCCCCAGCAAATTCGCGAGGGGCTTTTCATTCCAAGTGATGACAGGGCATGAGTGACTGGATATTTTCAGAGACCAGAGCCTTATCTGCCCGAGAGAGAGACACAGGGTCCCTCGAGGCCCCTGGAATGGAATCCAGAGCCACCTTCCAGTCCCGGGCCACAGGGACCCCTGGGTCCCAACCAGGAAAAGAGCCCCCATCAGTTATGTCCTTGTTCAGACACCCGCTGACCTCACTGTCCACGTCATCACAGCTAAAGCCAAATGTGATTAGAAAATAAACTTCCAAGGAGTCCAGACAGACTTGGAGACTTTTGCCTGAAATGATATTAGCAACAAGGTGGGGGCTGGGGGGTGAGATCCGGCCAAGAACCAGGGAATTTCTCAGCTTCTAGAATACGCTGGTGGAGAGAACACACTGGCACATGTTCGTGGACCTTGGATGCACTGAGCTGGGGCCGCCTGCGGTTTCATATTGTGGCCCCGTCACGGCACAAACCAGGTCTCCTTTCTGGTCCCACCAAAGACCTCAACTCAGACAGGGATGCTTCCAGCCACGCCCCTCCACGCCCACAGCCACGCCCACAACCTCAGCTCCAGGCTCTCCGGTGGGGGCTCCTGGAAGCTGGTGCACTGAACAGCCCCATCTGAGCGCCCGGCTTGCCCTGTATCGCCCCAGCTTGAAAAACGTCCCTGTAAATGTTGACATAAGGAAAGTGGTTGTGCTCTCTCTCCTTTTAAAGTCAACAAACAGCAGATTCCACCCCTCTAAGCCTCTTCATACGTTTGCCTTTTTCGTAACGATTATAATCAGAGCCCCGGTTGAACGAGAAATGATACCTTCTTCTCAGGGCCACCAGGGTTCAGCAGCGATAGTTTGGAAGGCGGTGCTGGTGGCAAAGTTCAATGTTCGCAGCCTTTCCCTTCCCACGCCAGGCACGGCTCCGCGCAGGCAGATTGGCACACAGCCGCTAGATGTCACCATTTCTCCAAAAGATGTCACTCAGAAAGTGCAGCGCTGGGGAAATGGGCCTGGGGAAATGGCTGTGGCCATTTGGGACTCCAGGATGAGGGGTCGTTCTGTGGGGACCCCAGTGGGGTGTTCGGGAGCTCTCTGTGGTTCAAAGCCCCCAGCCACAGCACTCCCACTTGGAGCCTCCACCTCACCCACAAGGCTCTCTCCTGCAGTGGGATTGGGGCCTCTGTGGGGTGGGGGGTGGGGGGGAGGCACAGGTCTAACCCCCTGGGGGGGCCAGGGACCCCGACCCTCCCGGAGTATCTTGAGGCCAGCATGCTCCGAAGGCAGCACCACCCTGGACAAGCCAGCCCCTGGTCCCACCCTGCGCTCTGCAGTGTGGGGGTGGGTGACGACCTTAAGTCATAACATGGTGATCAGTGACTTTAGACAGCCTTAAGTCAGCCTTATAATATACTGATAATATTACAATAATAAAAAATTAATTTCCCTTATCTCTTCATTTCTATAGTAATGTAATAATGACAGTATCCACCTTCAAAGGCGGTCATATCACATGAAGTAGACCCTGACGTACAAGTGGAGGAGGCCAGGTTTTCCACCCGGGACTTAACTTCCGAGAGCAAAGGAGAGATTATTGACCCTCCATCCCAGCACCCAGCACCCAGCACCCAGCACCGGGCAGGCACATGGTTGGGGCTCAATAAGTCCGTGCCAGCCACATGGTTGGCAGCTGATGGAATAAAGGATTGCCAAACTCGGCCAGACGGCTGTGCCCCGGTGCTAACCTGGTTGTTTCCTGTCCCCACGGTCATGCACCCCAGGGACAGCAGAAAAGGAACAGAGACCCTAAAACACCAGCCAAAAGATAGAGGCAGGGTCCTAAGCCTGGGCTTGGGGAAGGGAGGGCAGGGAGGGACGGGCGCTCTCTGACAAAGGTTTTTGGCAAAGGGCCTTCAGTACATATTTTTGGCCTCGAGGGACATACTTATCACTGTGACAGCGCCTCAGTGCTGGCCTCAGGCAGACGGGCTATGCAAATGAAGGGCGTGGCCGTATTCCTGGAGAACCTTTGGAAAATCCAGCGGAGCCCAGAGCCCATAAGCCCCAGCAGCCTCTGCTCTATCCAGCCCCGGGACCTGCGTGGTCTAGAACCCGCTCTCTTCCTCACCTTCAATCTTCATCGCCCAGTTCACACCCAGGCACGTACCCAGGGACCAGGCCCCTTCTGTGGCCTCTGCTCTCCGCTGAAGCCCACCTGAAGCCAGACTGAGCACTTTATTGTAGTTTTTTTTTTTTTAAATGTTTATTTATTTCTAGGAGACAGAGAGAGAGAGACAGCGTGAGCAGGGGAGGGTCAGAGAGGGAGTCACAGACTGAAACAGGCTCCAGGCTCTGAGCTGGCAGTCAGCACAGAGCCTGACGCGGGGCTCGAACCCACGAACCGCGAGATCATGACCTAAGCGAAAGTCGGACGCTTAACCAACTAAGCCACCCAGGCGCCCCATTTTATTGTAGTTTTTTAAGTCGAGCCCAGTATCGTGGTGGAGCGATGTCGCTTTCCCTGCTATGGAGAGGTTGCCCTGGGCCCCCTCAGCCAGCCCTAGCCACTGCCATTACTAGCTCTCCCCAGGTCCCCTTCGTGGGGCCGGCCCCTCACCCTCACCCCTCCTCTGCCCCGCTCACCAGTAGCACTGGGGGCCTGTGCCTGACAGGTCCCCTCGGCCCCCGTGTCCCTCCAGCACTGTCCGGAATCACCCCCACCCCCGAGAAAACCGGAGGGCTCCCGAGTAGCTAAAGCACGCATCAAAGTTAGCCTTGTGTCTCTGCGTTCCGAGTGTCTGTTTGGCTTCTGACAGAGCCCTCCACACCTGATGCAGGCCTGCGGCGGAGGCCATCCCAGCAGCTACTTGCTGAATGAGAGAACGAGGGAGTGAATGAACGAATGAATGAGTGAATGAGCGGACTCAACAAAGTGCAAACCAGAAGGCTTGTCCACGGCGGAGTCCAAATCTGAAGATAACGCTCTGGCTTGGAATGCAAGACTTTTCTTTGCGCCGCGCCAGGCAGCCCCCAAGAGGGTCGGCACGAGGTGTGTGTTGTTTCTCTGTTTTAGGTGGAAAAGAGGATTTTCAGCCCAGGATGCAAAGGAGGCCGACAGCCAGCAGGTGCTCCAAAGCCCCTTGCCCTTGAGAGCCATGAAGTGTCGCCTCTTCAAGAAGTGCAGTGAGAGGGTCTTCCCTCTGTCACCCCGTCCTCTGCACCCCGCCCCCACAATCCAGGCCAGGCTGGTCACCCGAGTCCAGGCAGAGAGGGAGCCCCTTCTGTAAACCACCCCAGGGTGCGGGGCAGGGACAGCGTCAGCAGGAAGGAACCAGGCAGCGTGAGGGACCAGCTCGTCTGGGCGGCTGAGTGTCAGAGCCTGGGGGGTGGGGGGGGTTCCTCTGGGCTCCCCCTCCACCAGACACGATCCCTCACACCAACCCTGGGGGCCCGAGGCCCTGAACCTGAATCTCTGTCCCCAGCAGCCTCCTGCTAGATTCCACATGTGTGTGACCACCGTGGGCCTCACGCCCTCCCTGCGGAGCTGGGCGCAAGCCCAGGCTCCAGGGGCGTGTGGGAAGTGCCCCGAACCCGGGTCATCGGCCCTGGCTTGTCCAGCAGACTAGCAAAGGGCGCGCTGTCCCATGTCACTTACATCCCACGGTGGGCAGGATGCTCTTGAAGTCATTCTTCACGTACCGGAGAGCCAGGCTGGACTTGCCCACAGAGTTACTTCCCAAGAGGACCAGCTTGAACACGCGGGGCTGGCCCGGGGCACCCCCCGGGCAGGGGGCCCCTAGCGCCTGCGCCATGCCCTGCAAGGAGACAGCGTTTGCAAGAGGTTGAAAGTCTGAAGCCAAACGGCCTTAGCGAGCTCACCCCCAGGGCACCCCTTCCCTAGTCAAAAGCAGACAACCTTGAACAGAACTGAGCGGAGCCAGAGCCTGCCCCACTCTGCACCCCGTCTCCTCATGTGTAGAGTGCGGTGAGTAGTACCCGGTGACAGGTGGGTTGTGAGGAACTAGCGGGGCGGTCGTGTTTGGGACGGGACCAGGGTGCCCACCAGGGTGCCCAGCAGGACCCACCGCACCCCACGGGGCTGCGTGGAAAATATGATACGCTAGTTATCATACGGGAGTATCGGCCTCAATCCGTTCTTCTCACTTTAAAAAAAAACCATTACTCAGGGGCGCCCGGGGGGCTCAGTCGGCTAAGCGTCCAGCTTCGGCTCAGCTCATGATCTCATGGTTCGTGAGTTCGAGCCCCGCGTCGGGCTCAGAGCCTGGCGCCTGCTTCAGGTTCTGTGTCTCTCTCTGTCTCTGCCCCTCCCCTGCTCGTGCTTTGTCTCTCTGTGTCTCTCCAAAATAAATAAAGGTTAAAAAAATTTTTTAAAATATATATATCAAAGCTCACCGTGGCTGGCAGTCTGAGGAACGGCCTCTGCTCCCTCCCCACTGGGTGGGCAGGGGAGGCCCCCAAGGGTTATGGGAATGGAGGAAGGGAAGGAATCTTGAAGGAGGAGAAAAGCGTGTCCCGCACCCCCCCTCCCCCCCGCTTGCCCCCAGAGCTGTCCCAGCGGCCACAGCCCCAGACCCGCCTGGCCGGCCCCCAGGGACAGGAGCGGAAGAGGCAGTTTGCAGCCCATGTCTCAGAACAAGCCGGGCTGAGTCTGAAATACGAACAAGGCTGTTCTAGGCATTCGTGACCGTGGGGGTACGGGGTCTGCAGAGAAGGGTTTCCTGGTGCTCTGCCCCTCGGACACGGGGCCGTCGGAGGCATGAGAAGCGCCATCTTATACGGGATTCACGAGTCCCTCCATCAGGCATGAGGCTTATAGGGCCAATGTATGATGTTTCAGAGAAGGTTTAGAAAAATAAAGCGTTTTAATTTTTCTGTCTATTTTTTTGAAGCCCCCCCAAGGGATCCCGGCATCTGCCAAGGCCGAGAGCTGCTGCTGTGATTTTTATCTTTTTTCTTCAGGGCTGGGAGCTGTGCCTCACACGTAGTAGGTGCTCAATGAGCGTCTGAGGAATGAATAACTGAATGCGTGAAGGGAAGCACGTGTACCGTCCAAACACACAGGAGGCGCAAGTGGCTCATCAAAGCCTCAGTGCTTTGAAATACCGGCCTGAACGGAGGACAACTTCGTAGGGCTTGAGGCAGGACCTGAGCGACTGGGCTGGGAGCGGGCTCTCAGCTGAGAGTCAGCCAGGGGTGGGCTCTGGGCACAGTGCTCCGGAGAGCAGCCTGCCCCGCCGGCCCGACGACTTCACGCCCGGACCCACGGTAGCCGTGCCCGAGAGGGTCCTGGGAGGGAGCCAGCGCCCATGCAGCTCCTTCCACAGATTTCGGACTCATTGGTAGAAAAAGAAACTCAAAAGCCAACGCAAAATAAACACAAACAAATAGGAAAACCCCTGAAACGTCAGCTGGCCCCCCGGGAATAAAATCTGTAGCCCCTTGATTCCAGCTCCGCAAGCGGAAAATCAGAGTCCAGAATTCTGAATGGGATCACCATGAAGGTAACAAAATGATACTGTCACGAAGTCCAGATACTTCCTGACACGGACTATCATCCACCCTCTCTGCTGTCAGATAAACTGGGCGCTTTGCCTCTGGTAAAGCTGCTAGATTCGCTCAGGTCTGCGTCCCAGCCGAAGCAGACCTCTGTCCCGCCCCAGCGGCCACCCTGGTCTCATCCAGTCCCCATCAAGAACAGTTAAATACAATAGATAGAAGTCTCTGCCGTCACTTGGCCCGCAGTCCCCTGTCCCTCTGCTTGCTTGAATCAACCTCGGTTTTTAACGCTGCCTTAACTCAAAGAATTATTTTTTAATGACTTCTCTCTCTTGCTGGACTGTAACTTCTGAGATGCACTTTATGGGATTATTTTATTAACACCTTCCCGCATGCGCCAGGCCGTAACCTCCCTGTGGTCACTGACGGTATAGTAGGTGCTCAAGAAATACTTGCTGAACACACAGGCCGGTCAAACCCCCAGCAGCCTGCCAAGCAGCGCCCTGGGGGATCTGCAAGCAGGCAGAAGAGAAGCAGATCCGTAGGGGGGGCTCAGCCCCGAGTGGCCAAGAAAAGCTGACCGTTGCTCACTTTAAGGTCACCCTACGCAGGTACTTGGAGGAGGCTGTGACTGGAAACGGGACCAAGCAAACAGAGAGGCCGCCTCCGTTGGGAGGGGGGGTATGGATGGGGGCGGGTGGACATGCTCACAGGCCCCCGCCCTGCTCAGGCTGCACCGAGCCTCCTGCTAAGGCTGAGCCAGGAGCCTCCGGGGGACCTGGCGTCACCCCACTGCACAGAGAGGCCCGGCAGCTTTTCTCAGAAAGAGGCGCAGAATTTGAAGCCGGAGTGGGCTGCGTTCACACTCACACTGGGTTCCCTGGGCCCTGGTGTGCTTTCAGCCACTTGCAGAGGGTGCCCGTGCGCACTTCTCACGGGGAGAACAGCGGTGCAGGGGTGCCCGGGGAGGAGGGGAAGGGGCTCAGTCGGTGAAGCATCCGACTCTGATCTCAGCTCTCAGGTCATGATCTCACGGTCTGCGAGTTCAAATCCCATGTCGGGCTCTGCGCTGACAGTGCAGAGCCTGCTTGGAACACTCTCTCTCTCTCTCTCTCTCTCTCCCTCTTGCTCTGCCCCTCCCCTGCTCTCTTCCTCTCTCAAAATAAATAAACATTTAAAAAAAGAAAAAACAGCGGTGCACTGAGCCTGCCCAGGGGAACCACCAGCCTGGACTCACTGAGGACAGTAGCTGAGGACAGTCAGCTTGACAGCAAATGCTCAGAAACACACGGAGTAGGGAGGTGGTCACCAAAGGCTGAGGGCGGGCAAGGGGAAGATGTCTGTCAAGGGTACGGACTTCCAGCCGCAGGGTTAGCAAGTGCCGGGCATGGGATGCACGGCATGGAGATCACAGCTACTGATCCTGTGTTACACACTCTCAAGTCCCTAAGAGAGTAGACCTTCCATGTTCTCAGCACCAAAAAGAAACAGTAATTAGGAGACAGGGGGAGGGGGAGGGGGGCAGCTAACTCCATGGCGGGCATCGGCCGAGATACATAAGTGTATCAAGTCAACGGGGTGCACGCCTTAAACCTGCACCACGTCAGATGCCAGTCACACCTCAACAAAGCCGGAAAAAAGAGACACTTTTAAGGATGGAATTTCCGAGCTTTCTGCACCACCTCCAGCTACTCCCTGGTTTCTAGTCGGAAGTACTTAGGGCTGCTGCTTAGAAGTAGGTCTCTTATTGATTTCTACCGGAATTTTTCACGGAGAAAGTTCTAAGACACCTGCAACAATGTCTTCTCAAATATGTGAAGATACCCCTCCAAGTTTGCCTTGCTATTTATGCGCTCAGATTAATAAAGCTCTTAAGTCGAGGAAATCTTCAGCCCAAAACACATCCGCATTAATCAAAACAGGTGGAATATGAATGAATACACCATTGCTATGATAATCACATTCCAGCGTCCTACTTCTTCAGCAGTGATGCATCTCTTTGTTTAAAAATAGTATTTCACGGGGGGTTGGGGGGGCCTGGGTGGCTCAGTTGGTTAAGCATCTGACTCTTGGTTTCAGCTCAAGTCATGATCTCATGGTTCATGAGTTCGAGCCCCACATCAGGCTCCGAGCTGACAGTGCTTGGGATTCTATCTCTCCCTCTCTCTCTGTCCCTCCCTCGCTCGCTCTGTCTCTCTCTCAAAATAAATACATGAGAACTTCAAAAAATAAAAAATAAATAAAAATATTTCACTATAAATATAGACACATCATTGTCAATATGAAAAAAATTAAATCTCTCATAATCCCACATCCTTAATATAAAAAGGAGTGCCATTTGCCTATTTTCTTCTTGTTTTTCTTTCCTATGAATCTTAAAAACAAGCAAACCAAAACCCATAGTTTTAACATAAAATTATATATCCTCCCTTTAAACAAAACAATATGTATTAAAAGCAGTTTTCCCCATTGCTGTATATGTTCTATATGCATTCAGCCTACAGACATTTAATGACCTGCAGAACACTCTTACAGCTTTTCCACTTTGCTGAACCATTTCCCAACGATTAGATTCTTTTTCGGTCACAAGTGTCTTCTCTGTAATGAATAAGGCTGCAGAAAGCACTTTCATGTCTCCTTTCTGTGTGATTATATGTTGTAAGCCTCTAATAGAGACTAGAGCCCTCTGTTCAGACAGAAAATTAAAAATAGAACTTATGACCCAGCTTCTGGAATTTAATCGAGACGGGGTTGTTTGAAGTCCTTCTAAATACGAAGGTGTTCTCAGGAAGGAAACGTTCGTGATTAGGGTTGAGAGACACTCTCTGTACCATCCTGATTAAGGGCTTTTTTTTTCAGTCCTACAAGCTCATCTCCTTTCCACAAAAGGGAAAAAGAAAGGATTGCAATCCCAAACTCATCCTTTTCTGGGGTGGGAGAGGGCATTTGGGGGAAGGGTCCGGTTTGCTGAGTGTGTCGTGCGGAACCACGTCACTCGTGAGCGTCATCCCTGCCCCAGAACGTGAAGGACACGGGACTACGTGCCGCGCGTGCTGTCGCCCGTCGGTGCCCCCCGAGCACCTAGGTCATCGGCAGCGAGTCCCTCCGAGGGCTCCTCTCGCCTGCCAGCAGCGAACGGTGACCGCCTGCCGGGTGACCGCCTGCGGGGGGCTTTCCCGGGGAGCCACCGCCTCGCCAGGAGCCTCCTGCTGGGAGCCCGACCTCGCAGCTGCAGGGGCTCCAACATGGCACTTCCGCCGCCGGAGAACAAGCTCGCCACCCCGCTCTTTGCCCT